TAATGCAAAACTGAATTATTATAATAGCAGCCAATTTCTATAACTTCGTATTACATTTTGCGTCCATTTTGTGTCGAAAAGTAAGTTTTTGAACATAGTAATAGCGACACAGCGCGGAATGAAACAGTATTGAATGCACGAGTAGAGGAAAAGGAATTCGCTGGCTGTCTTCGCGGCGTGCCACTAATAGAGAATTTTTAAGGATGGAGAATTTTTCATCTCCAAATAAAGCATCAATAGATTTTAAGTAATTAACAGTCGATTAAAAGATCACGAACTAAGGCTATAAAAGTGCAAATAGAAAGCAAAACCGTGTCGTTCAATTAAATTTTTAAGTGGATTTTGTTTTCGTAGGATTTAAATTTTTATTTAGTTGTAAAAAAAAATGTTAAAGATTAAAAATAAGAAGTAATGATCTCTCTTTTTAGAGAAAACGTCGATTTAAATCACCTCGAGAATGCATTTAAAAAAAATTGTTCGTCAAAGATGGAATATGTTCGTCTTTGTTTCATTCTCGCTCGCATAATATTTCTTCAATAACATTTATCACAGAGTGTTGGCTGTACTTCTTCACAAATCACGCGCTTTGTCTTTCTCTTTCTCGCTTTCTCTCTCCGTCTTCGACAGTTGACTCGCTTTATCGCGTTGTCAACATCAGGCGAGGCTAACGCGAAGGAGGCTCGCCTAAAAATACACGGCGGACTTACGGTCATCGGGCCCACAGACATTTTTTCCCCCGAACGCGGACCCGGGTTCCTCCTGGCAGCGGAGAGAGAAAGAGAGAGAAAGGACCAGGCCCCAAAGCAACGGGGCCTGGATATTCCGGTTCACTTAATCGTTTCCTTGGACCTGTGCGTTGGGGCGGCCTGGCGCAGCGACGCCACGATGATTCTCCGGGCCCGAAAAGAGCGACAAAAAAAAAAGAAAAGAAAACATCGGCGAGCCCGAGCGAGGATCTTCAGAGAGATCTTCACCACCGCACCGTCGAATAATGCAAACAGACCGCCACAACTCGCCGCACACAACTTTGTTTAAATTATCCCGGCCGAGGATGGCATTGTTCTCGCTAAACTAAACGTTATACGGGGCTCCGTTTCACTACCATCGAATTGTAATGACGGATCCTTCGACCAATTTGGAAGTCAATTTTTGGTTAACAAGAACACGGGATTAACGGTCTTTGAATTATAAACTGTTGGAAATAAATGGCTCTTCGGTCATTAAGTTTCGATGGAAATTTCTCACTGCTTTCGATGTCGGACACAACGATAAAATTTAATATACATATAAATACGGTTTATTTTCGTTTTATCGTCTATTGACGGACTGAATTTCAGCAACAATTATTTATGACGTACCTGAGCTAGTGACTTGAAAACAATTATTTCCTCTTCCAGAGTATAACGAACTTGTTAAACTAGATATTAATTATCTCTCCGCGTTTCAACTAGTGTTTCTCGTCTTATCTACGATAGCTGTTTGTCTGATACGTGCGTTCTTAACACTTCGATTTCTCCCGACGATGTTTTCGCTGCTGGAAGTTTTATAAGTGCTTATCAAAGACCCACCTGTTATTACTGTTCGATAGAAGACATTCTTCTGAATATTTAGGGGCTGCTTGAGAAATCAAATAATAATTATAATAATTAAAGGAGGCAATAATGATTACGTTGATGTTAATAATCCGCACAATTTTTGAGACACATTTAAATGAACTGATAAAAGAATAATTTTATCAATTCACCTTAAATAGCTCGAAAATCGCGTGGACTGCCACAATGAATATCTTGTATATTATATTACAAGATATTAAAAGATGAAATGGGTCATATCGCAATTATATCGACGATTCGTTACTTATTCAAAATTGAACCGCAGTGACACAGTTTGCCGATTCTTCTGGATCGCTGAATCGACTGAAACGGCACCGAGAATTTATTACGCGCGAAAAAAAAAAAAATACCGACTTAAGATACGAATTAATTAACGGTCGGGCGACTTCGCAGGCGCGGCACGCATAATATCGGGTATAAGACGCGAAATACACGACGCCGATCACGGGCCTTGAATCGCCTTAAACTTAAATATGCTATTTTCCTTTATATCCGCGCTGTTGGGGGCACTTTGCACTTGTGGAAATTGCGGCGTTCAATTATTCACGTATTCGAATCGAGCGTATTTCCGGTCAAGAATCGCTTTATCCCACTCCGTCGCTCCGACACCCGCGCGTTACAACACCCACCGTCCTTCACTCATGCCGTTACGTTAATCACTAAAGTGCATCCTTGTGTGTGTTTTTCACTTGCATGAAGCTATCTCTCTATCCCTTTCGCTTGCGTAGATTATAGCTGGCGTTTACATCATCCAAGTGACGATAAACGTTGCTCGCACCTTACGAACGGCGAACACTCTTGCCTTCGATACTTTATCCTTCCCATTTCCTCGCCACATCGATGACTCTGCGCATCTGAATCTTTCTTTCTTGTTGCATCAGCGGTCGATCACATCCGATTTTTATTGTGTAAATATTGTAAGTAGCATTTCGCGTGTACACGTCCCTCATTGCTTCCGCTTAGAACTTAAATGTGCTTGTGTGCTTCGTCTATCAATAAGCTCGAAAGGAGCGCTTGTGCGTTAATTTCCCAGAAGCGCTAAATATTTTTCTATCTATTTGTCAATATCTCCACGTCTCACAAAGGAAATCCTTGAAAAATGTGAAATTGCGTTGGCGTGTATGGGACTTTAATACGGAAGTCCCTCCTGCAGCTTTTTATCACCGAGGACCGTCGATATTTCAAGACCATCGCAATAATAATTTATTTAAAGTTTGTATATTAATTCGCGTAATTGAATTCGATTTTTGAAATTTTAAGAATTTATCGTTTCCTCGTCTAAATGTTGCAAAAGCTAAAAAATAGCTAACAATAAAGTGAATATTTCTGCATTTTAAATGCAGACGTTATTTGTATTCTGCTAATTATTTACAGTTGTGGAAATAAATTCTTTCTTAAATCTGTGTTACAAAGGCCTGTCTGTTAATTTGAAATTTATACGTATTTAAACTCACAATTCACGGTATGACGCACGAATTAAATGCTTCTAATTATGTTCGTTTTTCTTATCAATTCTATCATTTAAACAGTAGTAATTAATTCATGATTAATATTTGAAAAGTCATATTTTAAAGTTTACGAATGCAGTCGAGGCTTTATCTTTCGAATTAAAACAGCGATAAATTCTTAACAATCTGTCATAAATTGTTAAAATTCCGGAATAATTTTTCCGTGTTAATTGCATCATAAGACACAAAGAATTTTATTAATCATGCATAAATTTGAGATTAATTTCTCCGGAGTTTATATTACGCGTGCGATATATATTGCAAATAAAGGCAACAAATTTTAAACATTTATAATTCTCTTCGAGAATATTATGTATATTGTCGTACAAAGTTAAATTAGCGCAATTTATATCTCATGTTATCTAAAGCGATAAAACGGTCTCTCTGGGTCAAAATTACTTCGCGAAGCATCACTGCTCATCAAGGCCCTACACGCTACCTCAAGTTTCATGAATTTTCAGGTTCCCTTGCGCAAAGTACTGATCCGAAAAGGACGTTTATCCGAACGTTATTCGCTTATTAGACAGAGGCTATGCCGTTTAAAGTAGTTGTCAGCCGAGAAAGATCCACGAGTGCTATTTACAACGCGAACGCGACACATCCGGAAATTAGCGACATAAATATTGCGCGTTACGTGACTTTGTTAACGTTCCATTCGGCTTATTGAATGTGATTTATATACGATGCATACAGTCGCTTCTTTTTCACGAGTGCCTTATTTCGTACTCAGTGTTGGTAAAAAATACGATATCGTAGCATCTAACTGCAGACGTGGTCAAATCTTTATTCCTCAAATAAAACGTCTGCCGGGTCAATAATTTTCACGAGTAACGTTTTAGAGAATTGTAATAATAATTTCAATATTGTTGCCTGCAACTTTTTAATAACTGCACATCGAGAATATTTTTATTAATGCTAAAAATAATATTATATCAAGCTTTTATATATTTCGTATTTATATTAATATAAATTGAATAAATCTTCAGAGAGATTCTCAGGCAACTTTTTACATCTAGATAGAAATTTAGTTATCAGAAAATATCACGCACCATCACGTATGCGAGATATACATATTTTAACAACACTGATTATGACGCGACACAGCTAAGGATAAGTAGAAAAAAAAAAAAAAAAAAATTGGAGATCTCGCACAGGTGATTAGGATTGTTTAACGCGATGAAAACAATTAATCGTGAATTTGCGGGCGTAGCACGTGACGAAAGCATCGAGGAACGCATCCGATCTAGTCGCCGAGAGAATTAATTGATTAAAGATACGTTTGCATAATGTGATAAAGGATTAATTTCGAGGAAATAATTCAGTGTTGCAATATTTGTTTCAAATTCGATTAATCACCGCGTAATATTTATTGCTCCCATAATCAATGAGTATTTTTAATAATCTCTTTTCATAAGTAATGCCACATGAATTGCAGAGACGCAACCTGTTGTTTTCCATCTCTGTTATTCCGTGAATTGCGTCAGCATTATTTTATGATAAAGCAAAAATATATTGATTCTATTAAATAAAAAGAGCAATATATTACGGTTATTAAAGCAGATGGATGATAAACATTTAATTTACTTTCTTTTATTTTGTTACAATATACAGATATACTTTTGCATTTTGATTTATCAACTTTAATGGCATATTAAATACCCTAATAACTTTAACAAATAAATGCGACGTAATGAAGCTAAAAATTCGCTTCTCGTGCTTACAACGGCCAGCTCGGGCGTTCCTCCGACGCGTCTCGAAACGTTAAATCGGGGAAAGGGGAGGAGGCGGGGTTGGAGAGAGACAATGAGAGGCAAAGAGATTTGTTGCACCCGTCCAGTATCCTCCCCGGCTAGGTAACGTCGTTTAAATACCTCGCCAGGTTCCTCTCGGTGGCGCACGTGTCATCGGCCGATCATCAGCGAGCGATTTCACGAGAGGCTGCGGCCAGCGGCGTATGCGCACGCCGACCGAGGAGTTAAATTCTCAAGTGTGACGACGAGGACGACGACGACGACGACGACGACGACAACGACGACAACGACGACGAGGAGGAGGAGGAGGAGGAGGAGGAGGAGGAGAAGGAGGGAGGATACTGCTGGACGAGGAAGTGAGCGATAAAAGGGAGAGCGAAAGGAGGATAGAGAGAAAGAGAGAACGAACAAAGAGAACGAGACAAGGGCGAAAGGGGAGAGGGACGGGACGAAAAATGAACGGCCCCGGGAGTCATCAGCATCGCGGCTTGGGCATGCAGGGACGTTACCGAGCCGTGGTGGCGAATGGCGCCCCGTCCGGAGGGCCGCACGGACGAGCTACCCCGGCGCCGCCGTCCCACCCTCGCAGCGGCGGATGGCATGGCCAGCATCAGCAGCAGCACCCCCAGCAATTCGCCGCCGGCAACAAGGAATACCCATATCGGCAATGCCCGCCACGATATCACAATGGGTATATAACGAACCCCGCGCGACTACGGCCTCGCCGCCGCTGTCGTTGCGCTGCTTGCGAACGCACGCGTTCTTTCGCAACGCGCACACGTCCCCGTGTGCGCGCGTTTCGAATAACCCCCCCGATGAATGGAGAACCCGGGCGATATATCTCGGATGCGGAGAGTATTTTTCAAATTTTTCGTTAATTAAGTTTTGTTTGCGGAGATCTTTCTTTCCTCTTTGTCGCGAAAAATTTTGCAATCGCAGAATGAAATTCTATTCTTTCTTTTTTTTTATTATTTTTCCCAAACTATGTCCACGATGTTCTCGTCTTTGTCAAGAATTACTTGCAGCAGTCGGTTTTTGACAAAATGTTTTCTTTCACATTTTCTAATTAATATAATTACTATCGGGATAAATATTTGTGCTTGTTACATGTGCTTGCAGCTTGTAAACTAGTTGTTACTCTTTAAATATTTGCGTGGTAAAATCTTGCACTTTTTTTCACGAGCAAGTTTGATATTGAAAATATAAATAAATGAAAAATTATTTACGCCAAATTGATTCACCGCTTATTGTCAGCGAATAATTATACGTTTACAATCGTTATTCGTCGTGTTATCCGCATTTGCTCGCCTGGGTGTCTCTTCGGGTTTGACACGGATTGAACGTGATACACGTATGTTCCTCGATAAGATGGTCACGCATTGACAAACAACTCTTATACATGACAACTCTCATTGGAAAAATATATAGAATACATAAAAAAATTGCAGACACTACACTATAACAATCCTTAAACAGTCTCGAATGAGAGATCTGACAACGGAGTTGAAAGCATAGTGTTTTTTCTTTGCTGGAATTTTCGTTTCATTTTTACGAAAATTTTCTCTCGAAAGTATAAAAATCGCATAAAAATTCTATTCAGCGACTCACTTGAAATTAAAATTGAAGAAGAATCATTTTACTGTATAGGTGTATTTTTAAAGCTTAATTCATAGAAACAGATCGCGAACTGTTGTTGACTCGGAATCTTTTTTGTGCTTCGATATATTTTATTAAAGCAAAGGAAAATTGTCAATCTATCGATGAAAGAATCTACTGATAATAGAAAATGTAACGAACCAGGAACGCTCTGCGCAATTTTCACGGACTTTCTACCACTGCTATATAGAAAGTTCAGAGTAAATAAAATTCCGTTTATTCGGTGCCTGGAAAACGCTCGATCTCCATCAAGATCATTCAGAAAGTCGACACGCGTTTCATTACCGGATGGATCGAGCTTCTTCTCTTTTTTTTTCTATTTTTTTTTCGCGCGGCAAAAATTCTCGCGCTACGTTCCCATTATTCATCGTGCACTTGTGCATTAAACGTCACGGCTTTAGCATGGCTTAGCGAAAGTGCCACGCGCGCGCGCGCGCGCACGCGATATTGCGATTGTACGCGTGTAAAAGGGACCGTTTCAGGCCAGAGGCCCACACGCATAGACCGCAGTGCGCGTGTATTTAATTTTCAGAGGAGCCGACGTTGAAGAGTCGACGATTCTCTAATCGGCGATAATCAACCGGTCTGTCGACGCGCGGGTGCTGTCCGCGCCGCGCGTTGTGCGTCGCGACGACGTACCGCGAGTTGCAACGATGCACTTTATTTCCGCGCTCGCACTCCGGGCTTCCTTTCGCCCGTTCGCGCGCGGCGTCCGCTTTCCGTTTATCTGCCTACCAATTAAATCGGTTTATCGATTTTCCTTCTCTCTCTCTCTCTTTCTCACTCACTCACTCTTTCTCTCTTTCTCTTTCCTCCCTCCGTCTATCTGTCTTCCTTTCTCCGCATAGACCGCGTATGCAGTTTCGTTCTGTGTGTTTGTTGGATTTCATTAGATACGACTATTATATTTGCCGCACGTATATAGACTTTCGGACTTTTACAAACGTTCAATTAGAATCTCTCGTTCTCTTATAGCTTGTCCCGAATCCTGCAGGATGTCTCTCGATGCCCTCCCCTCGATTTTTTAATCTTAATGGCAGAATTCGAAGTCGGGTTTTCCCCGTCGGGGATAGAAAACTGTAATATGTTATAATTTTTCAATATTTAATGTTCAATATTTCACTAATTAAGCCTTCCATTAAAAATCCGATAAGAAGTTTGCACATAAATTTTAACTCTTGCACTTTTTGTAACTCGAAATCGATGTTTCGATTCGGACTCAATTGGAAGAGATCTGTCATTAAAATTACGAGGAGGGATCTTAGGACATCTATACTAAATGCAGATTGTCGCTAATCGTTATTTCCTCTCTAATGATAGATGCTGCCGGAGTGCTATTAAAAAAAATCTAAAAGTTTGATCGAAAAGTCGTTTCCCGCGAGTCGTCTGAATATTTAAAAGCGTCGTTAATTTTTCGTGCGGTAAAATCTGAAGGGGGAAGAATTAAAGATATGTTATTTTAATTTCGCGCAGGATTTTCGCGTGCATTTGTACGATCTGATTATATTTGCATTCTGGCGCTAGTATCGAAATGGCATGTCGTCGATAATTGCGACATAATTACGATCCCGAGTCAAGAGTAATCAACACACCAAGACATTTTCTTTTCAAGCGTAATTCTTCACCGGTCACGTAGTGCGTATCATTGAAAGGAAGTAGTTGGTCAGCGGCATCCTGCATGCAGAAGTTGCAAGTTGCATGCGAAAAGACATTGAAAAATGTCTTAGCTCATCGACTCAAATTATTGTCAAGCTCTGCCTGTATATAAATTCATGTTGTAAATAGTTAATTGCTGTACGCTAAGTCCATAATTTTACGATTGCATTGTTTCAAAAGATGCAATCTCTATTCGGCTCGAGATTGCAGCAAGAGCGACTTTACCGAACGCATTTAAAGATATTTAATTCTCGGGAAGATATTAACAATTTAACTGACAATTAAAATTAAATAAAAATTTCTCCTAGAATCTCTCGGGCAAATGATTAAAAGCGTGATATTTAAAACATACATTTCCATAAGCGATAAATTTAGTTCACAATTTATTCAACGACATTTATTTTCGTTTGACGAGTGTCACGCGTTATCAGGTTTTTAAATATACGAACAATTCTAAAATCTTTTATTTGCATTGCGATGCACAGGCACGTACAAAACCGACGTTGATTTCTCTCGCGGTATCTTACGATACATCGCCAGCATTGACTCACGACATCGACATCTTTGAGAGTCGTTAATTTACTCCTCCATATCGAGAACGTATATATGATTTTTACCGCAGCGTGCGCTTCAAAACATTTTACTGTTTTTAACTTTTTTCCGTGTCATGTTTATATACTCCAGTGTTTATCTCGTTTAGCATGCTTATGCATACTTATCAGTTTCTTACAAATATATATATATATTATATTCCCTTCGTATCCGGAGTATTTCGATTTTCCTTGCTCGAGTCTCGCGGATGACACACACGTAACGATTTAAATGAAAATGGAGAGAGAGAACGTGACAGTTTTTTCCCCGATAAAAACTCTTGCTTCTCATTTCGCAAAGTCCCTTATTTTCTTTTTCTTCAAGAGACAAGAGAAAATCACTTAAGTACGATTTGCAGCAACAATATTGCCAAGCCATACAAATATATGAGCCAAATTATGTAAATAGCATTATGTTACATCACGTACTGCGTAGCCGCGTAGCCTGTGACTATTTTACGAATGCCGTATATTATGTAATGTTACAGTTCGGTTTACATTGATACGTGTATTCTTTATAGCGCGGTTTACAAAACAGCTGGCTCTACATTCTGATTGTGTAACGATAAATAAAATCTCGGTTTACAAAAATAAACAAACCGCCGCGCTCCAGTTTGTCGAATCGTTAACTATTACGGTCAATTTATTCGTCCATGCTTGTAGGTCAAGCAAATACATATATAAAAAAATATTCCAACATCGGTTTATCCTTTTAACCGTGAATTTATTGACTGCGAATTTAAAACTGATTTTTGGTAACGAGAATTCATGATGGAATTCGAGTAATTTCGATGAATACGAATTGATAGCATTGGTTATAAATCGCGGACTTTTAAATCTTTAACGGTAGACAAATGGTGATAATAAGAATTCTAATTAAATTTTTATTGAAATGAGATCTCAAGATGCGTGAAAGATTAAAGTTTTATTATTTATCCTTATTCTTGAACATTTTATTTTTTGTCGAATTTTTTGTGGAAGAAAAATGGAATGAAAGTCTGTCGAGAAAAAAAATTAGAGTAGCTAACGGACGAAATAATAATTTTCGTACGATAATGTCTACGTGTCATTGCATGACACATTCATTTTCACTTCGCAACAGCAACCGTAAATAAGACATATCGTAGCAGGCATTGCTATCGTTATAATTCTGATGACTGTGACTTTCATAACTGCACATGAAAAGATGCTTGCTTAATTACAAGCCACTCGAGCGTAAGCTCCGTTTTCGTATAATCGCAATATTGCAAATCTCGTCTTGCAAATAACATTGAAATGCTAATTTGTCAATCTGTTTTGCGAATGCGAAAATCGGAAAGAGAAAAACTAATTCTTACCACAGAGATCTCTAAATTACATCTCCGAACGAATTACATCTCCGAAAGTTAATAAACTTTGTCGCAAATTTGGCGCACGTTAAAGCAAGCGTCAAAATCATGATTAATTAGGCACATGAAAATAGATTGCGTTTATTTCCACGCGGATCAATAGATTTTTGGAAAAATCGTCGTTTCCTTTATTTAATAAATTTCTTTAAACTCGAGGCAGCTTACATTCTCGGGACTTTACAGAGATTTCTATTTTATATTTTAAGATCACGACACGATGCGACTGATAAACGATCGTTACTGTCGATAATGCATTAAGCGAACGCGTGCAGTTCTAGATTCCCGACTTATTAAAAGCGGATCCGTTGCCTTCGTAGAATTTTTATCGATAAAAAGCGATCTTTCTTTCCCGCTTCTCTTTGATACGGGAAAATTTAACGAAATTTCGCGCTACACGATACTATTCGTTATTCGCGGGAGCGGTAAGATCGATGGACCTGCGTTGGAAGATCCTCATTCTATACACTGTGGCGCATACGTGACTCATTTCTATTACGAGTGCGAGCGGTATCAGCGCTTAACCGAGTTATCACTTTGAGAATGCGCTCGGCGTATCGCGCGGAATTTATTACGTATTTTCCGGCGCGCACACGCCCGGCATGTGTGTATCGCAGCTCGCTTATATTTCTCTACGTGTACATGCAGGGATTGCCCCGGGGTTGGCACGTCCTCCGGGCCGGCTGGCAAGGAGGTTTCCTACCACGGGAGCGTGGGTGGATCCAGCGTGGGATATAAGCCACCCCCGCAGCACAGCCCGCAGACGAGGGGTCCACCGCCGCACTTTCCCCAGGAGCCGGTAGGCCCGTCGGCCAATTCTCCGCCGTTACACATCAACATCTGCGGACAGGTGAACACACGCGACTTTTATCTCCCTCGTTAAAAAGAGAAAATAATTTTCTAAATCATCATCCTTCCTTTTACTGTTCGTTAAATTGTTTGCGTCGTTATTTTTAGGAAAACACGATGCGTGGTCCTATATTGAACATGAGTCCTGGTCTTGGAGCCAGCGGGGTCGACATGGAATACCGTAGAAACTCCCAAGGTATTCATCAGACTTCGTTTGTTCATTGATCCGCGATGATCGATTGGAGCTGTGCGCATTTTTTTTTTCTATCATGCGGTTTAATTCGGCGAACGTAATCTGAAGAGAGAAGTCTCTCGCGCTGATCTCGATTGGAAATATTGCGAAATGAAATTTATACAATCCTTGTTTTCAGCCACAAACCAGTTACCTCTGAGCCCAGTGCAGATCCAACCGTCGCCGCCGTATTATAGACAGCCTAGCCAGGACGACGGCCGAAAGGTGAGCGACTGTTTTGTTTTGTGTTTTGATGATGACGTCATTTCGGTGTTCTGCGAATCCGTTAAAGAATTTTAGAGAAAGAAGAACTTCCTCGACAGGGGAAGAGCATAGCTCGCATCATTGGTTTCGAATCGGCAAATTCATTTCTTGATTCAGCTGAGCACTCTATTCAATTGTATTCAATGATTTTTAATCGTTTCAAAGTACACCGTCGAGTTTTTTTAACGGTTTCGTATATGTGGTTCCTTTTTTCTTTGGTAAGGAAACTTGTGAGTTTTTTGTTACAAAGATGAAGAGTGAAACATGATGAGGAAAATATATATGTGCGTGTGCGCGTGTGTTTAGATTATTTTAAATTCAAAAGTGTTTCGATTTTATAACTTTTCTTTTCGAACGAGTTTACACACAATGCTCGTTTAACAAAGACAAAAGTTTTCCCAATCGCTCAAAACAATCGCAGATATAGATAATCGTAGGGGTTTTTGTTTCAATCTCGCCGATAATTCAATTTCCTCTCCAAGTAGTGCAGTTATTTACAGGGGCAAAATTAAGCGGATAAACAATTGAAGAATATTTTCAGAGCGAGTCCCCGTCAAGAAAGCGTCGTCGAATATCTCGCAATGGCGCATCCGGGATAGAAGTCCGGGAGACGACGCCGCCGGCTCCGACGCCACCCCTGCACACGACGCCGCCGCCTTGGGAATTGCCGCAGCGGCGCTCGCCTCGTAATCATATGTCTACCCGCGGCAGCCCGACGGTTCGGAACCGCTATCAGCGGTACACGGATTCGTTCGGGCTCTCCTATCCGTTCCTGACCAATCACAATCCTCATCAAAGCATCCACAATTCCCATCACAGCCTCCACAACTCGCATCACAACATCCACAGCTCCCACCCCCACGGTTTACACAACTCGCATCACAACATTCACAATGCCCACCAGGCGCATCCCCCTCATCCGCATCCGGCGGCCGGCGGCACCGGGCACCATCCCGCGCAAGGTGCGAAGCCCCCGTGGTCGTCGATGTCGGCCAGGTCGGCGTGTCCGGCCTAGGGGTCGCCGTCGGCGGTGAGCCCTTGTGGCATCCGCAACCGACGAGCTACAGGATCCCGTGTCAACTTCACAGCCTCTACACACCCCCCACGCACCCGTACGGGCATTCGTGCCAGGTGAATTAACCGTTAGGATGTTGCATTGTTCGTTAATATTTTCTGAACGCAGCCCTTCTAATAACGATCGTGATTTCGGAAAGTCCGATCGTAGTGTGAATATCAATTGTCCCTCTTTTATCTCTACGTTTATTTCCATTCCGCTTTTACGATGTGCACCGTTCGATCCAGGTGACGCATCATCACAGTCCTTACTCCGCTGCGCATCCGACGCATCCCGGTCACGGTCTGGTTGGTTCTCTGGTCGGTGCTGCTTCTAGAGGATACCCAACGCCAGCCGGTGGTCCTGTAGCGGCTCTGCATCATACACACGCGCCACCACCGCCCGTCCACACCACCGATTACACCGCGCATCATCAATTGTCTCAGCAGGTGAGCGAAATAGCCAGAGAAAACGCGGGTTCTCTCCGGGCCACGGCTGCTCCGCGTAACATCGCTAACATCTCCTCCTCGATTTCAGAGGGAGGTCGAGCTCGAGCAGCTCATAGAGTCCCATCATCATCACAGAGTGGGCGCCGCGGCCGGCGCACCGCTGCCGTTACCGCACTCGTATTCTCCGCCAGCTCTCACGCAGGTCACGACACCGCCGCCGATATTTCTGTCGGAGACGCGGAACAGCCAGCTCGAGATGATGCAGAACAGAACCCGGCGGGTGGCGTCGAATGTTCTGCGACGGCCGAGATTCAATCGATGGAGAAGCACCACTCCGCTACCGCCTATAACGTATCCGGGATATCTGCTACACTTCCTGTATGTAGTAGCCACCGCCGCGCGTCGTTTTAATGCTCCCGCTGAACGCGAAGCGGCCAGTTTAATCGACACGGTGACGTTTTCTTCCTCCGCAGAGCGATGTTCAGCAATCCACCGCTGTCTCCCTACAACCAGGCCGAGCTATCCTCACCCGATTCAGTGACGGAGAATTACGAAGCGCTGCTATCCTTGGCCGAGAGACTGGGCGAGGCTAAACCCCGAGGTTTGACCCGCGCGGAGGTGGAGCAGCTGCCCTCCTATAAATTCAACGCGGAAACGCACCAGGGCGATCAAACCAATTGCGTGGTGTGCATGTGCGATTTCGAGGCTCTCCAATCGCTACGTGTTCTGCCGTGCTCCCACGAGTTTCACTCGAAATGCATCGACAAATGGCTTAAAGTGAGCAGTACAAATGCGTTCTTCCACCCTTTGATGTATTTCAGTCTTGTGACCTTTTTTTTTTACAACTCGACGAATTTCTGTGCCGCAGTCCAACCGAACGTGTCCAATATGTCGCGGTGACGCCGGAGAGTACTTCGGGAATAGCAGCGGCAGTAGTGACTGACGCCAAGCCGGCGATGTACACTAGCGCGAAGCGTCGCAGCCACCGAGAATATTGCTACTGCGCGTGATGGAGGTCCCAGTCGTCGCGTTGCTGCCACTTCACGTAAATCTGTGCCGTTAAGCCTTCCTGTGGCGCCTCCTTGGCCAAGAAACACCGCCGAACATACCGAAATGTTACCGGATTCGTCAATGATGAAAATTATGACTGGCTGAAACCGGCTGAATACAAGTGGTGAGAATAGGTTCCATGTACGATTTTGTTGTGTATCGGAATGTTATTCATGAGCGAGGGGGGGGATTATCAAGATTGAAGAATGGTGCAAGTATCGTTTCGATCGCTTTAATGGTACAGCGAGATGCAATAAAAAGCAATTTAGCAAAAAAAAAAAAACGACGAAATAGCCAAGAGACGTTATAGATTCAACGTTCCGTTAAGTTACGGCGCATTTCCTATCAAAAAAGAAAAAAAAAAGAAAGAAAAGCGGACTCGGATATCACTTTGTTTTTATTCACAACGCTTCAATTAATATTTTAACGCTCATTAATTATTTGTATCGTTACTGTGCATTATCGAATTTATGTACATAAAATAACTGTATACGCAGATATCGTAACTTTCCATTAACGTTCCATTTTTTTATAGTTTGTCTTTCAATTCAGTAATTGTATATATTCGCATAAAACACCCTTATACATATATGTGTGCATGTACAAAACCGATGTTAGTTTTTTTGTTTGGACTTAACCAAATGTAGGATACGAATTCTTTTGCAATAAAAAAAAAAAAAGGTGTTTATCGTCAGGTAAGGGAAAAGATTGTAACTTCCTGCTGTTATAAGCTTTTGTGTCTTTGTAGGATACCGGCTAATTATTTTATTATATTATAGAAATGTATGTAAGTAATTAAAAATTACTCGGCACCTTAAGTGCCATAGGTAGAAATTGTTGGATTATTGCACCAGATGCCACGTAACTATTTTATAAAATATCTATAGATCCATGTTCAATCCGAAATTTTTTTCTCTCTTGCGGCAGTTAATTGCAGTTATCTTTTTCGTGTGCTCTAGCTTGCAAAATAATTATCATGTTTTACACTTTCCAAAGCGTAATGCACGATAATAATTCAAGCACAATTCGAATCTGCAAATCTGTGAATTTCGGCAAAAATTACTTTCAACCGCGAGAGAGACGACCTGGCACGTAATAATAGAGCCAAGTGCACACACAAAAGGATGGAAAAAGAAAAAAACGTGTAAGAATATCGCTTCTGTTTCCTGCGTATCTACCTCTGATAGAAGAAACAAGACAATTCATATTTTTTTATATATACATCTCATAAACAATAAACATACCTATGATAAGTAAAAGCAAGAGCAGCCGGCTAGAAAACGAGATTTAGACGAAAAACATTCGATAAATTTAAACTAACAATTAAGACTTGCGAGGACAGCCAACGCTCCAATTTCAATACGTTATGCGAATATGATTTCGGTCGAATGGATATGATGGAATTTCGGTAATGTTAAATTTTTCAGTTGGAATCGAAAGTTTGTTTTTCGTAAAAGCGATTACAATGTGGATCGGATTTTGCCACGAACAAGTTGTGCGTTTTTTTTTTAGTTAATTATCTAGCGTTTTCTTATTTACATATTTCTATACCAATGTGAGACGATTAAGATTTGTTTGTATTCTTGTTATTTTTAAGCTGTTTCATTGTACATTGTTGGATAGCGTGATATTATTGGCAAAATATAAATTGTTAAAAGCAGACTTGTGTTTCAAAATTAATAAAATTGAGGGATACGTAATCGATTACTTTTGGGTGATTTAATTATATTCACACGAATTTAATGTATGCTCCTTTCTAACAATTTTCCGTTCCAATTTTCGATAATTAAACGGAGAAGTTCGAATATGTGATTGTTGTGTGTAAGCTTATTTTTAAATATTATTTGAAAATTATTACGGACACTAATTAGCGAGCACACAAAAGACGAAAATGCAATTGGTAATCTGTTTTAATGAAATTGATTCGACGGGTGTGCCTGCGCGCGCGCGCGCGTGTGTGTGTTTTGTGTGTCTGTGCGTATATGCGTGTAAAGAAAAATGTGCTAAGATTCTTTTCTCAGACGTGACACACAAGTGAAAAATTTTTCATGGTATCTACACGATAAAAATATTCACGTCGCATTTTATAATTCAAGCTTCAATAGCATTGATTACAATATTTTTTCTTCTTCTAAATATAAAGGGCTACGTTAGGAGCTACGCCTTGGCCGACTCTTATCCGAATCTAATCTTCACAATTTTCTTAATCACTGTGTGTACGTGTAAATGTGTGCTTAAGTGTATGTATGACCGCAGCGTGTGAGCTGAGGTCCGTGGGCTTTGCCGAAGCCCAAATGACTGTGCGACTCGGTCATTCTTGCGGTACGATCGTAATATTAATTGTTTTACGAAAAGCATGCCATCTCTATTGTAAATTGTACGTTATTGTGTATTGACTTTCACGAGTCTTCGTTGCTTTTTCGTTTTTTTTTTTTTTAAACGTTTGCGTTAGTTGTCTGATTTACGTTCGTTCAAAAATATTCAACGTTATTGTGAATTATTGTCAATTCGAGGAGAAAAAAAATTCGCTTGATAGCTGATTAGTCGGAATGTTGCCTTCTGGACGTCTCCCAATGGAACATGTATAGTGCGTGTCGTGTAATCGAAACTCTCTTACTCTAAGCATGGAAACTTGGACACTCGGGAAAAGCACGGGGAGCGTGATCGCCATAGGCGTCATGCTCTCTCTCTTTCTGGATCTGTATCCTTCCATTTCTCGTTGCGTGCCTTTCTGTACACCGACCGAAAATATCGAGAGACAGAAGCATATTTAAGAAAAGAAAAAAAAAAGAAAAAAAAACGCGGTCCGCTGTGTCACACACGTTCACGGAGCGCGCAGAGCATTACGGTCGAAATTTACATTTTTATATATCCAGCAAACATTTTAAAAGGTATTAGAGATACCCGCCCGACGTTTTACGAACGCGTTTTCCCTGATAACGTCCCGGGGCTTCGTACTCGCATTCGCTCTGTTCGGTGTCGCGTTTAACGCTAAATCACCGTAACTGTCGCGCAGACTCGTTTGTCTAATGCGAGAATACGTACTCGGCGCGAATATAAAAATGAGAATAGAACAGTTTACGTTGAGCGCGCAAAATGTGCGGTGCGAATACGAGCCTCTCGCGAAAGCGGAACGCGCGTATCTCCGCGTTGGCGGAAAGAGTAAAACACAAGGAAACAAAATGCACAACGCGCATTACGTGTCCACCTGCGATTCACGGCTGTATCGTAAAACGGCGTAACAAGATACTCTTGATGTGAGCCATTGACGTTATCTTAATTCTAATTCGATTTCTTTTAGGCGCTCGTAAAGACTCTCTGGGTTTGGCGTCTCTTCGCAGGTCGACACAATAATAAATCAATTTTGTTTGTACAGGAACTCTCGGAGGATCATATTTTTTTTTTTTTTAGTTCCAAACATTGGCAGATCATCAACGATAATGGAGAATGAACGGGTTTTAATGTTGAAGGATTGATCATTTTTAATATCTGTGATTGATGTGTTTGCATTAGAACACCCGTCTGCTTGTCAATCCGTTGTGTTCAAAATTTTTACAAACCAATCTCAGTAACATATTTGTCTCGCATAAGTAACCTTCAGAGATTCAACATTATTTCCTTTTTTATTACATACTATTTTGGAATATTGATCGTCCGAGCTGGCCTCTCTTAAATCGTCCATGCAATCGCATATACGTAACAGATTATACTTTCTAGTAGTGTCATACGGGTCCTAACTTGTTATCACATGCCGCGCGAGAAAACTAGATTCTACCTTACGGAAATATCAAAAGTCTTGCAGAGGCGACGAGCGAGCAGGCGAGAAATATAGAAAAAAAAAGCACTGTTGATCCTTCCTAGATGCGTAAGAAGACATATCATTTTTCATTGCACTGAAACGCGCTGTCTCGCCTTACCGTGCTCTCTCTCTTTCTCTCTCCCTCCTGCCACAGCGACAGGAGAGAATTAAAAAGGAAGTCAAGACGGCTCATTTTCAACTATAATAGCTTAAGCTTATACCTACAAACTGTGAAAAGGAACGTGCGTTCGGTGGACGAACGACAATTTGTTGACTGCGCGATACAGTAGTTTTCCGCGTGTAATATAGCCGTTCACAGAGCTGGCCGATATCTTACAAATAGGGCGCAGAACTCCTTCCGGCCTTTCGCGAACTGTCCGGATAATAAATCTTACCGGCAGCTCATCGAGCGGAGAAAGACGGCGACGAGAGCGAAATAAAATATTATCGCAAAAACCGTCTTAAAAGAGCCAGCTCTTTTAAGGCGTCGGATAAAACTCGAGCTCGCTCACTCCGAGCTCCAAACGTCAGAAGGAGCTATAACTCTCGTGGTCTTTCAAGTGTAGCAATTAGTTAATGCTTATCGAAAAGTAGAACTGTCCGTTTGTTCGCTCAAATGAATTGAAGAAGATTACTGACGCATTTTTCGCTTTCGCTGTTGTTCGATTTTCTAGTGCATTTTTTAATTATCGTGCAAAATTTATTTTAAAATAAAATTTTTAGTTTAAAATAAACATTGCACGACACACATACATACTGGCATATTTCATTGAATATATAAAATATATTGAATTTATTAAAATTCTGCAATTATGCCGATTATAAAATTAATATGTATGGCGTGAGAACAGCAAAACCGAATGGTACTTACATAAACTCTGTGAATCGAGACTGGATCGCAACGATTAACTGACGAGCAGTAACAGAAATTCTTCAATCGCAGCTATCCCAGTCCACCTAACGCGGCGTTCCTTGATAGCTTTAGATTAAGATAGTATAATTTATCAATAATAAGCATGACTTAATGACCATTGTATCAGTCGCAGCGAGAAGCGCGGTCGATTTCTAAAATGTCTTATGTCACTCGACGAAATTGTTACACATCGCACTTGAATCTTGTCTAACAGTTTGTATGACACTTTTATTTGCAACATGCGTTATAGAGTTGTTGCGTTATTGTTTTAATTTCGCGATAAAAAAAAAAGAAGCAGCTGCGTTTGCTTTTCTTAACGTTCTAGAAATCGATTGTTGAACAGTACCAAAAGTGATTGTTCCGTACTAGCAGATCCGCTATTGTTTTTTTTAGATATAGTAATGATAAACCTGTGTATACATATGTATAAATAGGGAGAACACGCATTATGTTTATACAGTACGCAGATAGTCAATTGACACAGAAACTTCTCATCTCTTAGCATGTTACAAATCGTTTAGAACGAATTGATTGTACAAGTTCGTTTGATATTTATTCCAAGGAAGATTCACAGCGAGAAATACGTTGCGATTAGCAAGGTCTGTGCAAGTCTTCTCTTTCCTTTCGAGAAATTAACGCTTTTTTAGCAATTTTTTTTCTTCTCGCAAATAAATATCATTCTTAATCGGTGCTTGCTCTCTGAAGAAAGATACGCTCTGTGCAATTTGCGAATGTGGCAGGAATCTTCGGCGATACGATATATTTTCTTTTCTCGCAATTCCAATTTTACGCGCAAATCGTAAAATATTTGTCGAGGGGGAAAAATAACGGCGAAACACTTAACTGCGCTACGCTCGTGATAATGTTTTGTGAGTAGGTAATACGTTTCTTTTTCTGGGAGTAAAATATACTTTTTTTTTTTCATATATGTAATTGTCAAAACACAACGCGTACTGTAATTCCGCTGCACGGCTAACGTCAACCTTACGAAATCAACGCACCCTCGAGAGCGGAAGCTCGCGACTCGCCACTCTTTCAACGATAATCATATCAAGTGACCTGACGATAGAGGCTTATTTTTCATATTCCCGAAACAAGAATGTTGCACCGAGTTTTTGACAATGCGAAAACACTATTCAATCAAACGCTGCTCGTTTTGTAGGAGTAGAGAACACGACTGGGTTACCACAGATAATAGCCACTCCACATTTTAATCGTTAAATAATTCAAAATCCTTGTCTCTTAATTAGAATATAAATTGTTCCCGCATTATTGTAAATCGCAGCTTCTATTCAGCGAAAACGTGCAATTGGATTATTTAAGATTAAAGGTGAACGATTATAGTATCCAAAATTTCAAAGATATACGAATGTATAACATGTCATTTTTATATTAAAATCTATACAGCTACGAAACTAATTTATTTTAATGAAAATTTGATTTAATAATCATAATAATAGCAATATCGTGAATTAAAATGTTTCCCTTAATGACTTTCAACAAATTTTATCTGCGAAAAAGTTCAATCATAATTGAAAAAAAAAATGCATTTCGAAGCTCCGAAATACAGTTTGTTACATATCCACAGAAATCAATCGATATTAATTTTTCCAGTACTTTCCAAAGCGTTCAACATTTTAGCAAAAAATTCTTTAATATTCCATAAATGCGTGAGCGATTTTTCCCGTTGTTGCCTGCGCGTTTATTAAATATTGTTTTTAACGCGATAATATAATTTTTGGGAGAATTTCTCGTCGAATTCAATAATAGGCTCGTAAATGTTGTTAATTCGTAACAGGGACAGTGATTGTGTAAAGTGGCACAGGAAAAACGTGTCGTTGCTTCTGAATCGTTATATATACGAATTTTTTATGTTATTACGATTTTTACTATTAAGACTGGCAGGAGTTAATGTGTCGACGATTTTATAATCGGCCACAGTTGCACCGTAATCGCTACTGTTACATCTTTTGTTGATGTAAAAGATTTGTTACATGCTACATATATATAGTGTGTATATATATATATATATACACCTGGTATTAATTGTATGATATTTAATTTTGTCCATTAATTATTGTTGTTATTATGATTGTACTTTTGCTATTATTATTATCACAATATTAATTATTATAATTAAGATTATTTTTTGCATTATGATTAATTAATCGTACAGTTATTGATTTAATGCGTTAATTATTATTGTATCCGTCAGTCAGAGGAAAAGGCTTTACTGATCTTTAGTCTAATAATTTCAGTGTTCGAAATATGCATGTGACAATTTTCACGAAAAACTTTGACAGCGCCGCAGGAAGTAAACTATTGTACAAACGCAAACACATAACGATGCCAAACATTACATATTACTAGCATTACTTTATTATTATTATTATCATCACTATTTCTATGGTTATGTATCATTATTATTCTTATTAAACAGATTACACATTTTTTCATATTAAACCAAACATTGAGTTGATTTTCTTATCATTTCCATTTTTTAATTTGCATGCTATCGGTGTGTCGCATCTTTCTGTAGGATTTCTTAAAATTAGACTTTAAATCACCGCGTGATTCTTATTTTCAGAGCACATGCTTCTAGATTAGGCAAATTTTGGCCAAGGCTCTTATCGCTTGATCAGTCAATATTTCTCGAACTTTAAACTGCCTTTAATTCTCTCGGTATTACCTCTCTTTCCCGATATACAAAAAAATACGAACCATTAATAAGCTTTCGTTTTTGATAAAAAAAAAAAAAGGAAAAAATTAGGCATGCGAAAGCAAGAGGAATGAAAGCGAAAGAAGGGGAATAGAGAAAGCGCGAAAGGGGGAGGTTGATTCGTGCGCGAATGTGCTTGATGAGAGAAAGAGAGAAAGAAGGATGAGTGGGAGACGGAGAGGGCAAGAGAAATCCAGTCTACGTGCTCGAGAATTTAAGATGGATATACTCATATCTCCCGGCATTATAAACGGTACATCTTCATCCTCTTTAAAGAGACGCGCCGATAGCTCGGCTTTAATGAAAGAGCCCCTCCCGTGTAGCTCGCAGAATTTACAGAGGGTGAGACCCCACGCGAGCTTTGGAGTATCGGGACTTTCTCCCCTTCGGGCTTCCACCCTTCGTCGGCTTCTCTCCCCTTATCCTCCCTCTCTTCTCTCTCTCTCTCTCTCTTCTTTTTCTTCTCTGTTCTCGTTCTCTCCTCCCTTTCTCTCTTCCCTTCGCCTACACAAAAAATGTTAGTTCTTTTTTTCTCTCTATTCCCATTTCTTTGTCTTCATTGCTCTTCCGCGAACCTGCCTCTAATTCATTGAAATCAAACGTGTTTGAAATAATTTTGCACTTTGTTTATCTGTTTTGTTCATTTTGCGGGAAGAGTGTCCGTAGTCTGCCGAATTTATTTCAGATTATATCGATATTTCTGATAGATTTCCTCTGCACACATCGTATTCGAGATAAGTCCCGTTTTTTTAGACATCCACTTTTTCCCTCGCATTTATCGTTTTTGAAATATATCGCCGCCTATCAATATCTTCCTCGATTGCGTACAAAAAGATATACATTTTCATTCTTCCCCGACAACTTTAATCCCTATCTTTTCCCACCCAACGCACCCGATCGCTCACTCGGTTTTTGCACCTTCGATTTTTCTTGCTTTATATGTTTGTCTCTGCACCCTGTCTCAATACCGCGCTTGGCAACTTGATTCTCTCCGCAACAAAAAGAGAGGAGGGGAAGAGAGAAGGAGGACGGCTACGCGGGGATGGTCCGCTCAAAATCAATTCGTCCTGCGGGATTAAAGTGCCTCAGGATTGTATCGTGAACAACGATGCAATCATGAGACACCCTTATGTGAAACCAGTGAACTCTAAAGGAAGATGATTCTTGGAAATTCACTCTTGAAATTCTTGAAAATTTAATCTCGCTCAGTTTAGGGCTCAGTTTCAAGATTTTTGAATATTTTCCTCTTTTTTTTTTGTACGTTATTCTTGTTATGAAGAATATTCTTATCAATTCTAAAGTCTAATTTATAATCACGGGCAATGTTAATTAATTTACTCTTATTATACGGAGTGTCTCGTCGCTAAAAATCTCTTAAAGACAGACTTTCGTGATAATTTGGGGTCGATCTTCTATGAAAATGACCAGGTATCAATGGATTTTGAGTAACGCGGTAAAAAATAACGGCCTCTTCATAAACTAAGCTGTAGAAAAATGCAAGTAAATAAGTAAAACCACGTTCTTCAATTAATTTAGTAAGGTAGACTTATAGAATTTAAATTTAAGACTTTATTATAAAAATGTGTAGTGTTAAAAATTGGAAAGTCATAACGACCGCGCTCTATCTTCACGGAGAAAAAATCGATTCTAAATTATCTGGGAAAATTAATGCACTGTCAAACGAGAGTAATTTACTCCTTTGAGAAATAGCACGTTATTGTCATTTATTTCGTCTTACAATTATTAATCACTTTCTTTTATTAAATAGTATTAGAGACAATATATATATATATATATCTCTATGCGTGATAGTGTGCCGAGAATCACGCGGTTTATCGAAAATTAGTGTCATTGAGATAAACATCAGATTAGGATGCACGTAGATTTTACTCACCCTTTTGATATTCTGATCGTCGTGTGTAAATAACATAGATAAAAATATATAGGTCACTTGTTATAAATCTCCGACCCTTTCTCCCCCGCACCCAGTCGTGAAAAAATTCCGTAAAGAGTCGGGAATCAAACGCGAAAGATTCACTTATTTTGATGCATACAATGCGTATGAATACATATAAATACATATAAATATATATATACGTATTAGAGCCCGATAAGACTTTTATACTTGATACGCGAACGCACCTTATATAAAGCCGGAGATTTAAAGATTTAGATGGACACATATAATAAATAATATATCGAAAACACGAATATATATATACATACATATATATATATATATATATTATGCGATATTTTTCTAGTATGTCGTCGATGTTGCGTCGAATTGAATTTCTTTCGTTTTCACGGAACACTCGTTTCGCACGATAATCATCTTTACGGAATTTTCGTCGCAATATTCCGCCGTAATGCAGGTGTAACGCGGATATTAAAAAATCCATCGATCAGAGAATAACAAGAAAATGTAAAAGAGTTTCCTGTAAAATACATCAAATGCATTAAAGGAAACCGATAAGCATTTACTTGTAATGTTACGAAGCTACAAACTTCGAAATCAGAAATTTGAAATTGAAATTTCACATTTCTCACTGCGCAATTCAATTCTTTTTAATAAAATAATGAACTTCTTTCATAAGAGCAAAATAAGTGAAAGAATTTTCCATTACTCATTTTTTGCGCATTTTACGTAATTATGGCTTTTTTTTATAGAGATCTCGCGGACGAAATTGTAGATGTAACATTTATTTTCTATCGTACGTGACGTAAAAGTCAATTGAACAGAGCCGTAACGAGATTGCATACTCGATCGATCGACTTGGAATAATTGCGTTAGCAATGAACAAAGAAAGGTACTATCGCCGCCGTTAATGTATACATTCGCATTTATCTTCACAAAAATCGCTGCTTTATTGCCTTTCCCTCTTTGAAAAAAACGGTCAGCGAAAATTATGTGAAGAATAAAAAGCGTAGGTTGTAAGTTACATGTACATGTGTATACCAAGATACAATGTATAAAAAGCAATATCTACCGCTATATATATATAAAAATATATATATATATATATATATATACCTACATATATATGATTGTTACGTACACATTCGTACATATACGTAAACGATTACACACCCTGCTCTCGATTACTCGATTGTCATTTGCCATTTCGATTGTAAATTACACAGTAGGATGCGCTTTGTAAGGATGCAAGTGTTGTGCATATTGTATATAACATGGTGACGAGTGTGTGAACAAAAGCAAAGCTAAGACATTGTTTAGAGGAAGAGTTGTTGTCCAAGAGAAACAAAAGAAAAAAAAAAAGAAAGAAAAGAGGAAGAAATAATGTGTCTTACGTATGGCAAATAGGCGATGAGAGGCTCTCACGATATTTCTCGTACTATACAATTAACGGTTTGCGAAATAGTAGGTGTGTTCTTCTCTCGTTAGAGGGGCGTACCGGTGGTGTAATAGTTTGATAACTAACTTGTGGAGAAGGAGGAAGAGAGATACAGATTACAAAGTCACGAGGTCTGCTTTGTCTTGTTATAATCAAATACTTTGTATTATTGTAGCACAGGTTGTCATTAAACGTGTGAGCAAACCTATATCATTAAAGTCACTTCAATCAAATTGACGTATGTGGATCAAATTGTGATATCATATCGCCCTTACACACCCTTATGCTCGCCTGTAAGTAGGGGGAGGAGGTGGTATCATGATAGAATGATGTATGAGAATGTAAAATTTTGTAAAATTCTCTTTCGCGACAATTTCCCGGAAGACGCTATCTCTCGCAACTTTGTAATTAAATATCTTGGCAATTAAGCCTCAAATGAAGCTTGTAATTAAATTGAAGAACAAGATTCTCGCAAAGACTCTTTAATAAATTTGCTACGCTAAAGATTCTCGTAACTAGATCGTGTTTTAGATGAAACGGCGGAGAGAAATTGTTTCACAAATCATTATTTCAGCTCTTAATCACTGATGCGCCATCGTTTTTCTGCCGATTCGTCTTCAGCTGATTTATATTCTCCTTCTTTTCGCTGAACGCATTGTCTCGCGCTTCGTCGGAATCGGGATCCACGATTGATTGCCAAGGAATCGGGTTTACGTATGCCGGTTTCGCTTTCTGATGAGCTAAAGTAATTGTATATCGATCTTTAAAATATTTGTTAGAGAAAATAACGCACACATGCTTATCTCTTTTTTATGCAATAAAATCGGGATTGATTTTATCCGTCAGACTTTATAAAGCTACAACGACGAGGAAGCTGTCGTCCTTTCGAATGCTGGAAACGCGGAACATCCGTGTGTCAGTTATTATTATTTTACAAACTTACGCAGCAGCCCTTGCGTGGCGGGCTTAGGTTTATTCTTCGAATTCTCCCTCCATTTCTCGTAAGCCTTCGAGCTCTGTTCCAGCCTCCTCTCGCGCTCCTCGTTTATCTTCCTCTGCCGCGTCTCCTGCTCCTTATGTCGCGCTGCAAACAGGACAAATCAATTCTTATCGCGCGTCTTAGCACGAAACGCGAAAGAGTCGATAAGTCACAGGGTGAAGCGGAAGTCACATCGCACCCTTCTGCTCCTCCTTCTTTTTATGAGCCCACTGACGGAGGTACAGGGCCTTCGCGACGGCGGCTTTATCCTCGATCTCCTTCAGGCGCTTTTGCAATTCCAATTCGTTCTCGAGCATCGCTTTTCTGTCCAACTCCTGCCGCTTCTTCGTCTCCACCCACTTGAGAAAGTTCTCCTTTTCCAGCCGAGCCCTCTCCTCTTTTTCGCGCGCCACCCGTTTTTCTTCCTCCTGCCGCTTCTTCGCCGCGCGTTCCTCCTCTTCCTTTTTGCGCCGCGCGGCCTCGTGTTTCCTGCGGATCCATTCCGAATGGGCAATCCTTCTGCCGAGGTTCGGCATGTCCGTCATTTGACAGTCGCTGGCGCTCGACGAGTCGATTGCGAGAGATGTCGCGGAAATTCGCACAATTTGCCGATTGTCCGAAGTGCATCTGCTATCGTCATAATTTTACATGAGAGTTTTTAATGTTCAACTTTTGATATACAAATCGCGCGATTTAACATAAAATACGTCATACTTGTCCTGTTTTGTCGCTTCGTCCTCGCCGACGTTCGCCAGGATGCTACTGATCTTGCATCGTCGTTCTATTCGCGTGATCGTCCCCGACGAGGCTGCGGATCGAGCTGTTAATGGTTCAAGGGACAACGTGGTGTCCGGAAAGGACGTTGAGTAACACCTGTACGTATTTTGCCCAGTACCGACCGGATGCTCGGCATGATCATCGCTCGTTGCATTCTTCGCGATGGACGGTAGATCGATCGTCGAAGAATTGAAATCGTCGCGATTTGCGTCGATCGTTTGCTCATCACAATGTTCTGCAAGAAGAGATGAGTTGCGAAGATCGATAAAAATTCTTTCGATAAAACTGTAAATTCTTATAGTTGGATAAAATATTATTAAAACTTCTGTTAATTTTAAATAAATTGCTCATCTTTTTAAAGTTTCGCACATCTTTGCAGTCATTGAGTTTCTTATTCCTTTCTAATTATTTAAATTAACAGAGAATTAACGCATTAAGAATAAAAATTAAGACGATTAGTTTGAGGATTTTTTACAACGATCTTCCTGCTTACGATCGTTTTCAGGTCTGCGAGTCGCTGCATTGCGCTTCTCTTCGTCGACAGATTCCGTGTAAATGGCGGGATTGATGTACCGGATTTCTGAACCACATTTCGAAATTTTCGTTCGTGTCAAAGTTGCATCCCCGTAAGTACCATTGGAATGCACATGATGATCGATGAGAGCAATCTTTCTTTGCCAGTTCGGACCGTCTCCTTGACCGAATCCGTTACATTCAGATTCTGTCTTCCAGCTGTCAACGTCACTGTCATTGACCATCATCGCACGCTTTTTAACCGTAACTCGTTTATATCGAATTACTTATTACGTTCGACGTGATACATAATCGTTGTGTCAACTTTACGATTCAGCTATGTAAATAGTCTTACAAAAGTATTATTACATTCGAGAAGCCATTTGAGTACGAGTGTTTATTTATGATAAACTCGATGTTGTATTTTTTGTTCAAAGAACAATAGCGAATCCTTCAAGGAGCGAGTTGAATGTTAGCGATGTATTAAAAATGTAAATATTAATAATTCCTAATTTGAATGCGTAGCTTTCTAGTAATCGTTGTGTTTATTCTAAAACAATAAAAAAGAAATAAATTTATATTATAAAAGATTCACTGTATAAGCAAATAAAAAAGACGAGATGACAAACATAATTAGCTACTTTATGTCGTTGTCACACGACTGATGTACTGAATAAAGCGCGGCATACTTCAGAATAACTTACAATTAGATTCACAAAAGCAAAAGAAATTGATTCATTGAATAAATTTTATACTTGTAAACCCATAAAATAAATTATTAAGCGGAAATAATGTAGGTTCTTAGACTCTAAAGTCAAATGCGAGAGATTTATAATGCCAAAAGTTTGATTTTTAATTCTTTCTTATTTTTTCTACAAATTGTTCTTAAAAATATCCTAATTTTTCCTGCGTCTAAATGACAGTAGTCTATTAAAATCTTCATCATTCTTCATTCGTTTGTAATTACAAATAATTTATGTATACTTTTACAATCCTGCTTATATCGATTACACCTCATAAACATCGATGACTTTTGATGAATTAAAATTAACAGTTGAATGATGATGATAATTTGATGAAATTTACTATATGATTCGTGACAATTTATAAATCTTCAGACAAAGTTAAAAAACATTAAAAAATAATATCCTGCTATTTGGTTTTTGTACACGTTTTCTCCTTCAACTCCCAACAGCTTTCCCAAAACAACTTGAGTCTGTTGTCTCCATTGGAACAGAAATGTCGGAAATCCTCTATGATTTTTTTCTGAAATAATTCATCGCCCGTCGAGGTGGACCTCCACTTGCGACTGACCATGTGATTCCAGGACCACAAAAAACCCATCTAAAATCAATAGCAATTGTAATTTTTATTCAACAAAATCTGATACTGAATTCTTATTGCAGAAATCCACATTGTAACAACACATAATTTAATATTTCTCTCTTGTGTATCGACAAGAATTCTCATTAATAAATCCGAGTCTTGTTGCAAGTTATTAATTAATTCACAAAAAGTCGTACGCTTAAATATATTTATTACTCACTCTTCTGTCCATATTATGGTCATCCTTATTTTTGCCACCAACATGCCTAGTGATGTACGCTTCATGCGGACTCGGCTGGTCCGGATGGACCGGATACCTTTTCTGTCCCATGTTCCGCCGCACAACGTTGGTACCGGTCCGTGGACGCGGTCGAGTATTCGTAGTCGATGGCACTAGTATAAATGCGTTGCCAGTGAGGTGAACGTATTGACGATCATGCTCCGTGTTCTCAACTAAGCACGATACGAAGCCGAATCTCTGCAGAATTGCCTCTTGAAATAAAAATAGTCTTTGCGCGTACGTATCTTCCCGAAACTCTGCAAATATGCGTTTATTATTATTCATCAGATTTGCAATACAAAATGATGGTAGATTTGGTTTCGGGACAAACCTTCAAAGAGATATCGTTTATTCGTCATCAAGCATTCCGTGTCGAGTGGTATGAAAATAGGTCCTCTGAGAGGATCGCTCTTCAAGGTATATGGCAGTGCTAATAAGTCGCTAGGAATGGGCACCATCTGTATCCCGCACATTTGAGCTTTGCGATGCCAAACAAATATCTTACAGAAAGAGTAATCGTTAGCTATTCAATTTTACACTTTTTAGGATGAGAAAGAGGAAGAGGAGATTGTTACTTACTAGATCGGCCACTATACTGCCGGACGATGCCACCCATTGCGCCACGAGTTCGTAAGAATGATCAACTTTGTAAGTAGATTGATACCTTAAATGACCCCACTCGATCCTATCGCTTTTAGTATTAATGTCGATATCAAGGTGAGTGTGTTTATACAATGGCACTGCAAAAAAAATACATAATTATATTTTTTATGATCAATTATTTTTATGATTGACATTTTTTATGAAACTATATATCTAAGCTCCTTATTAAAAATTTTAGAAGTTTTTAATATTTTAGCAAATATTCAAAGATCCAAAGTATAAATCATCGTCGTGAATATTTCCATTCCTACCCGTGCAATTTCTATCGTCTATCGATTCCGTCAAATCGATGTCGTCTCTCAAGAAAGGTGGAACATTGGATTCGTCAATCGTGTCGCAACTAGGTATGGTTATGGGAGATGAAACTGTTGACAGTGTTATCGAAGATGTTTGTTCGCACCACCCTTTCGGCGGTCTCATCTCCACCTCCACCCACTCGTTCTCGAAACTCTGTAGATCACCAAGTGGAGCGGAATAATCCGCGGCTGTTATAAAAAAGAAACACGATTAAACAAATCGCAAAAATACCGAAAGTTTGATCGCGTTATTCACCTTTTTGATTTTCCTTATCTTGCACAATGTGATACAAATAAAATCCCAAGATAAATGGTTGCGAGAAGTCGCCGGATGCATGGCATATTAATTTGTCTTGAATCATTCCCTACACAAAGAAATAAGTATTACAACGTTTCGTGAAAGATATTTCAAATATTTACAGATTTCTTTGTTGCGATGCATGAAATCTTATATTTAAACAAAGAAATGCTCTAAAATATTATGTTTCTATGTTTAAAATAAAAAGTTTCTTTCCAAATCTCTACCTTCATGATATTAATACTTTGCTCGACTTCCACACCGCCTTCTATATGATTATTTAACCATTGGATCGCGTCGGCACTAACAAATGTTTGGCTTGGAAGTGAGGGATGTTGCGTTAAGAAACCGACACCAGTCTGAGGGTGTTTCATGGCCTCCAAAATTTCCGCGTTCGTCGCATTGCTTTTTATCTTCGTCAACTCCATGCTCGTACTATGGACAAACAGATACACAATTATATTTACATCGTTACATATTCATAAATATCGATGCATTTAAGGCTGTATTCAATGTGGTTGCCATGAGAAAGAGCTAAGCTTATAAGATTTATTATTTAGTTTTGATGTACATCGAGATGAACTATTTTTCTGGTAAATTAAAAATTTTACCTCCTAATTTTAATTATTAATACCGATAAAATTCCATAAAATGTCTAATAAAATTGGTTTTTAAAGCGAGTGATTCGCAATGATATAACTAAAGTAAATTATTATACCTGTCGTCATTGGTATCAAAATGATCCTGTTGTTGTTGCTCGATCGACAACGGCAAAACGGCTTCGCTAGCAGGCGATACACGGCCTCTGTCCATCACTTTGGAGCCTGATCTAGTTCACATAGAAATAAGCATTGGTTAAATAATTGTACAGGCACAAAAAATTAATGCAAAGTTTATAAAGCTTTTGAATGTAAACTTGCAATCGTTATACTTTAAGAAAAGCAAAAATCTTTTTTTATGCACTTTACGTTATTTTTTAGTAAACTAGATTCAATCTTAACAAAAACACGATCACGATTTTACACGAAAATGATGCTACTGTACAGAAATTATGTGAATTTTATTCTTATAAAATTTTCAAAGACAAAAGACACACGAAATAGTTTCACGTAGTTCACCAAGTGTTCTTTTAGTCATAGACATAAATTTAGATTAAATAAAAGAAAAAAAAAAAGAAAAAGCTTCGATTATAAGCCATTATTTATCCCTGTTAGATCCTTAACTTTTTATTAATGATATTCAATACTGAAAAAAATATAAGCTGTAAGTAATATTTTTGTTAAATTGCAGTCCAATTAATTCTAAAAATTAATCGTTTTAGAAAAATAAGCGTACTGCTATAAGCGAACAAGCATAAATGCTCTACGTCACGTCATTTCGCAGCCAGTTGTATATCTAATGCGACTAAAAGAATACCCGATAAAATCGTGGGAGTCCGATATTTGCGTATTATTGCGGAAACAAAAACCAATAACGCACACAAATAATAAGTTTAGTATTTTTAATCTGACTCGAGAAAGGAATAACAGAATAAGACCAACCTGTTTGGCACGTGGCGAGGAGTGTCGAGGCACGTACGGGCAGTCGCAGCGGTATTCACTACATGCCTCTCCTGTACAGAGGAGTTCACCCCGTCACTCCCTCACTCACCACCAAAATATTCTACAGCGCGGAGCATGGGTATAAGTGCCGTCGAACTTGGACTTTGCGTCACACGTGACCTTTACGTCTTCGGCACGTTATACCTACGCTCCGCCGGGTATTAGCCAGAAGATGAACAGAAAAGATGAAAGAAGCTGAAAGATACAGAAACTATGATACAAACACGGTCCCTCTCGGGACCTCCTTACTTTCCTCCGAACGCGTCGCATCTGCTCCACGAGTGATGTTGAGAAGTGATATTAATCAAAGTGTCGTGGCGAGTGTGTTATCTCAAAAGCATAAACACGCACGTAAAGGTGTGAGGAGAGGCGCTACACTTCCTATTATTGTGTGACAAAATTATATATATATATGTAATCGTGTGTACATGTAACAAAAGGTGCTCGAGCATATATATTTTTTTTACGTGATCATCTCGCAAAATCAAAACACATGCATGATAGCGGTAGAGTTAAACATCGATGAAACATCATACGCAATGTGTTAATATAAAAAATATACTGTTGCATCCCTTTTTAGTTGCACCTGAATCTTAGCAAGATTATTGTCTATCACCAAAAGCGTGAAACTGAAAAGAAATCGATTTCATAATATCCATACGCATCGGCAATGTCGAATTCCAGTTAACTGACTCGATTCACTGTCTAATTAATGCTTCATATTTTCATCGTGCATTTCAATTTCTAATCATTCATATATATATATATATTCACACTCAACGCATTCTTTACGCTAGAAAAATAAATTGTTTAATATTGAATGTACATTACTGAAAGTATAAAGCATTATATACATTTTCAAAATCAATCAAGCTAATCAAAACACATCATGATGCAATATCTCGCTCCAGTCGTCAAACACGTTTGCAGTATGTAATAAACAAAGCGAAAATGAAATAAAAAAAAAAAAAA